CGAAACCGACGTGAGCTCCTGTGCAAAGCTTTGGTTAACTGTTAATTTTACAGTTCTAAATGACAGGCTTTGGAGAGATTGCATATTTCTTCTCTCTTTCCCCCCCACCCCCACTTTAATTCCGTGCATTCACAACACTAGTTCATTTGTCTGCAACTGTCACTTTTCTGTATCACCCAATATTTCACTTGAGATAAATTCATTTTTATGGCCGATCCATAAATCTCACAAGGAAGGAAAGAGGGGCTGTTGGAGGGAAAAGGAGTTTTATCATTTGTCACCCTTAACAAAGTGTAAATGGGATGTGAAAATTTTGGCTCATGCTCCCTACAGCCCTGGAGCAGCGCTAAGTGGTGGCCGTTGGGGCCGATGGGGAGGGAAGGCAAGGAGGTCAACAGCAGGTGGCGCTATAATTGGTAAGTTCCTTTCCTATCCTGCTTCCTGCTGAATTCTAAAAGGGACGAAGGAAGAGGAGGAAGCTGGTAGGCAGGACCACCCTCTGGGATGGTTGCAAGTAAGAAGGTAGTCAGGTGGAGGCTCACTGCCAGGCTTCAGGGAATCCTATCCCCCTTCCTCATGGCTGGCAGCCAGAAATGGGAAAACAAGATTTCTTACAATGGTATTTTACTCAATATTCACAGAGAGAGATGGATGATGCCACTTCTCAGGTAACAGCGTTACTCTGAGTAAAGTTCCACTGGGGTGAATGAAGGCATCGTGACACCCAGGGCAGGGCACCGCTACATAGGGCGCATGTGCGGTGTCTCTACGTATGACGCATGCACCATACGTAGCGATGCCCCACATGCACTGTACATAGTGGTTTGCTGCCACTGGCACTCTAGTGCCCTACGGACGATGCCGGGATCCCTCCATTGCCGCTACAGCCACGAACAGAGGATCCTCTACATGCGGCTGTAGTGGTGACGGAGGGATCCCACCGCCGTCCGTACGGTGCTCAAGCGGCGCTGGCAGCAAACTGCTATGTACAGCGCATGTGTGCGATGCTGCACATGCACTGTACATGTACGGTTTGCTGCCGGCACCAGGATCCTCTGCTTGTGGCTGCAGCTGCGAAGGGAGAATCCTCCACATGTGGCTGTGGTGGCGCGATGGCTGCTGGCGCTGCAGCAAGCCCCCGCAGGGTGCCTTCTTGTCACAAACCCCCGACATGGCACCCGGGGTGCACCGCCTGCCCACCCACCCCATTGCAAAACCGCTGAGTCCCACCCCCTCCATCTCTGCTGTTATACGTCATCCCTACATTGGCTGATCTGTGTTTTCGGCCTCTGAGCTTTCTGTTCTACTACTCTCAATGCCTGCCAGGTTCGGGGAGAGGGGCAGGTCAGGAATGCTGTCTAAAGACATGCTGTCTGTCAGCTGTCTCTCTCCTGGTGCATCTTCTTCCTGCCGCTCTCCCAGTATTTCCCAGCTTCTCCCCTCTGCTGCCTCTGAACTATGACCACTGTTCTAAATCTATACTGCCCTCCTCTTCTCGGGATGGTTCAGGAAGTGGGGGTGATGGTCCCCACCATTCCTCCTCAGTCGAGTCCCTGACACTCAGTGAGGGCAGACTGGGGTTGGTGGGACCATTTGCCTTGATGGGACCACTGCCCTGGAACGGCTTTGTGGGCTGGGGAGAGGTGGCTGGAGGTGAAACTCTCACCCAGCTGGAATCGCACAGAGAAAACCTTCAGAGTTTTGTTTTGTTTTTTTAAAACCCTACGATGCCATTAAATTACCTGCCCATCAGCAGATGACAAATCCATCTTCCCAGTGGCCAAAGACTTGAATCATCCTAAGACATAGAGCTATATTCAACACTGTTCCCGCTCAGAGTAGACTGATGGGAAGCAATGGATGTGACTAATAATGGATCTACTCTGAGTTGGACCAGCGGCTGAGGCACCCATGGACTCAAAGAGCTGGGAAGGATCCCAGAGGACATCTAGATCTGAAATATACCCAGAGTCCTGTAGTGATTTCATGCTCTTTATTGCAGCTTGTAAAACAGTGATTGAATTGCCCCCCAAACCTCAGGCTTTTATATACATTATTTACACAATGTGTCCCATCTGATTGGCTGATTCTGCTTCCCTCCTGGAGCCTGATTGGTCTTTTCCTGCAGACCAATCAGTTGTTGCATTCTATGATCCTACCAGCCTAATAAGCTAATTAACTTCCTTCGGGAGCCTGATTAGTCTTTTCCCGCAAGCCAATCAGTTGTTGCATTCTACGATCCAACTTGCCTATTGTTCTAGGATCCAAGCTTAGTACATTACAAGACTAATCTTCTGTAAAGCACAGGATCTACTGTGCAGGATGCAACTACACCATCCCTGCAAGGTGTCCTGTCTCTGCTTCAATATCTCCAGCAGAGGAGAGCCCACCACCTCCAGTGGCAGTCTGTGCCACAAGGTCATGGACAAATGCCAGGTCCTCTTTGACGCCTTCCACCAGAGCTTCTGGGAAAGTAAGTTCCACGTGTCCCTGACACACTTCAAGGGCGGTTGTCATGAAAGGGCCAAGGAATGAGCTGTCCTGCCAGGGATGAAGTTGCCTGGTGTAATCTTACTTACTTAAATGCCCAGCTGACAGAAATGGCACAAAGAGGAGGAGAGATGGATGTTTCAGGCCACCCTCTGTTTCCTCTACCTGTCAGGAACGCTTGGAATGACAAGGCGGGCTTTGCTAATTAAGCGCTGCGTTGATGGAAAACACATCAACACCTACCCATGTTAAGTATTCCGGCATGGACTATTCAGGAGACAACGCTCTCCTTTTTGAGACTCAGACGCCACACGCTCTTGACATCTGTCTCCACCCACCAACCTTGTGCCCTCCAGACATTTTGGACTACAAATCCCATCAGTTCCCAGCCAACATGGGGCTGGTGGGGGGTTCACGGTCCAAAATAGCTGGCGATCCGGATAAGAACTATCGTCGGAAACATCTGGAGGGCACCATCTTGCAGAAGGCTGCTTTGGATATAGGAGTGATCGATGGCTTTAGCGGAGGATTGGGCAAATTCGCAGAGGAGAGAGCTGTCAGTGGCTACTAGCCATGATGGCTGTTCTCTGCCTGCATGCTTAGAGGCAGTGATTCTTCTGAATACCAGTTGCTGGGAAACACAGGAGGGGAAAAGACTCTTGTCCCCGGGTACTGCATGTGGGTTTCTCATGATCATCTGCTTGGCCACTGTGAGAACAGGATACTGTACTAGATGAGTCACTGGCTTGATCCTGCAGGCCCTGCTAATGTTCCTGTGTTGTGTTTCTACCACCAATCCGATTCTGTTTCTGCAATAATTGCTGGTCCATTCTATAGGCAGGCAAAATAAAAACTTGAGAGCCCTGGCAAGGCACACACACACACACACACACGTAGAGAGAGGTTGAGGCTCTGGAACAAAAATACCATAGATCAAAGAGAATGTGCTCACAAAGCAAGGAACTAGGACGGATGCACTTTGCATGAGAAATGGGCCTTTCATCCTCTAATGCAAAACAACAAGGGAGTTGGGCAGTCAGAGAAGCAACTGGGTTCAAAGTGGCCTGGCCTGCCCCACTGCCTACGGGGAAGCAAAGGGAAGGGGGTGTGCTACGACCAGGACAGAGCAAACTACCCTGGCTGGCTCCTTTGGGATTGTGAATGAAGGCAGGACAGGGCAATTATGATGAATGGGAGAGGAGGCGGAGCTCAGGCAGAGTTTAGTGGGGAAACGGGCTGGTGAAAGTGCTTAATGAAAGGGAAAGGCTCCTCTCTGGGGCCCTGGAGAGCTGGCTTGATCCAACAGGCTCTTCTTATGTTCATAGGGAGTGCCTGTGATGCCAGCTGGGGCTGATGGGAATTGTAGTCCCAAACATATAGAGGGCAGGGAAGAGGGGGCAGGGAAGAGGGGGCAGGGAGGCTGATAAAGGTAAAGGTAAAGGGCCCCCTGACCCTTTACCTTTACCCCTGGTCCAGTCGTTGCCAACTCTGGGGTTGCGGCGCTCATCTCCCTTTTCTGGCCAAGGGAGCCGGCGTACAGCTTCTGGGTCATGTGGCCAGCATGATGAAGCCGCTTCTGGCGAACCAGAGCAGCGCACGGAAATGCCATTTACCTTCCCGCCGGAGTGGTACCTATTTATCTACTTGCACTTTGATGTGCTTTCGAACTGCTAGGTTGGCAGGAGCAGGGACCAAGCAAAGGGAGCTCACCCCGTCGTGGGGATTTGAACCGCCGACCTTCCAATCAGCAAGCCCTAGGCTCTGTGGTTTAACCCACAGCGCCATCCACGAGGGAGGCTGATATCACTATCCAAATCACCTGCTCAATATTCACGTTGCAAACCCGACTGAAGAAGCCCTTTTAGGCCTCATTTGTGAGAAGAGAAGAGAAGAGAAGAAGAGAAGAGAAGAGAAGAGAAGAGAAGAGGAAGAATAATAATATAATATTTATTATTTATACCCCGCCCATCTGGCTGGGTGTCCCCAGCCACTCTGGGCGGCTCCCAAAGGAATATTAAAAACATCATAAAATATCAAACATCAAAAACTTCCCTAAACAGGAACAGTTTGAGAGGCGCCTGGGCAAAGTTTCCTCCAGTGGGACCCTTAATCTCAGTGGCAGCTGCTGCATTTGGGACTGGTTGGGCAGAAGACAGGGAACCCAACAGTAGGTGGCGCCAGAGCCAATGACAAGCAGAGCAAACAAATTCTAGTTTCGCTTGCTGAGCTCCACACGGGCAACACCGAGGCTAAGGAGGAGGAGAAAGCTGACAGGTGGTGCAGCCCCTTGGACTGGATGCTGTTGGGAAAGGCAGGCAGGTTGAAGATGGATGTGGAGAGACTGAGGCTGGGGGGCAGTTCCCCATTTGTCCCCATAGACCAGCCTCTGTTGCCTACTCTTTCAGTGGGTACTGGCAGGCATAGCAAGTTGTAGTTGGGGTGCCAGCGATCTAAGCTATCACCTCTTCAATTTCCCACAGTGCCCTAGAGAAAGAGGCATCCTGGGAAATTAAAATGGAGGTTCATTCTAGCCAAGTGTCACTGCTCAGAGGGCTGGTTCAGACAATCTTTTTAAGAGGGGGCCTTGTTAAGTAAGGTAACCAGATTCTTTTCAAAGAATCCAGGGACATTTATTTATTTTTTTTGGAAAAGAGAAAAAAAAGTTATTTTGTAAAAAAACAAATTTAGGAAGTAATATCTTCTCTTCTGTGGTCTCCTCTGTCACACAGCCTTCCTCTGGGCCCCAGCCTGCTCTCTTGGAGTGCTAGCCTTGGCTTGGTCCTGGGCTCGGCCATGAGTCCTTGCACTCTCGGTGCTCTCCTACCTCTCCTCCTCAACAGCAGCGGCAGCGGCGCAGCAAGGTCAGGGCTCCTCTCTTTTTTTCCCCTCCTTCCTCTTTCTCTCTTCTTCCTGCTCCTCCTCTCCTCCTTCTCCCTGCATCAGCTCCGGGGTTTTCCTGGCCCCAGAGCGCCTCTGGGCAGTCAGCTGGGTGCTCTAGCTCACAGCTTGATTTGGGTTGTGGGGGGGGGGTGTCAGCGGTTCCCCCAGTTGACATGCCGGGCGTCCCCTGTACCCCCTCGACAGTGGCGGCGGCAGCGGCAGTCTCAGCAGCCCGGAGCCAGCCTAGTAGCGCTGTTGGCTCTGGCTGGCTTCAGGAGAGCCAGTGTGGTGTAGTGGTTAAGAGCGGTGGACTCGTAATCTGGTGAACTGGGTTCGCTTCCCTGCTCCTCCACATGCAGCTGCTGGGTGACCTTGGGCTAGTCACACTTCTCTGAAGTCTCTCAGCCCCACTCACCTCACAGAGTGTTTGTTGTGGGGGAGGAAGGGAAAGGAGAATGTTAGCTGCTTTGAGACTCCTTCGGGTAGTGATAAAGCGGGATATCAAATCCAAACTCTTCTTCTGCTGCTGCTGCTGTGGCACCCGCCATTTTGCCTCTCCGGAAGTCCCCATATGATGTGTCTTGTGTCGGTGAACCTATCATGCAACATTCATTCCCTACTAATAAATCTACAACACTTAAAATATAAATCTGGGGACATTAAATGAAATCCAGGGACATTCCGGGGATGGATTTTGTCCAGGGACAGATTTGTAAATCCGGGGACTGTCCCCTGGAAATGGGGACGTCTGGTAATCAGACTGTTAAGGCATTGCAGCCCTCACAACTGCCCAAGGATTCAGGTAGTGGTGTTGATTCTGCTCCGATTTAACACCCCCGCCTCCCCACTTTCCTGAAACCATTGTTCCATGAGGACTAGAAGGCTGCCCAGAGATGCACAGTTAGAGAAAGAAAATGAGCTTTCACCCAGGGAAATAACAACAACAGCAAAAAAAACCTAAGACTTCGGGAGAATAAAAAGAGGCTTTTACAAACTGTATGGGGAGAGAAAATCTCAGGGAGGAAACTGGCTCATTAATAAATGAGGCAGGGATGATTAAATTAATGATAACTCAAAGAAAAATGTCTTTAGTAACCGAAACATTCTGAAAATCTGTGTTAAAATAAAAGTGATGTTGGGATAATAAAGGAGTGGAAGAGAATCTCGGGGTGGAAGTAAGAATATGAATGAACCCGGCTTGGCTTGGTGGCAGATTTGGCAAGGGATCTTCACTCCCATTGTGGGTCAAGATCATGTGGGGCTCGTGGCACTAACAGGATTAGGAAATGAATTCGGCAGAAAAGGCTCACGCTTCACGGAAGTTGAAGAGGAGAGAAAGAAATGCATGCGATGTGGTTATCTGCGGAGGATATAGCAGAGCAATTTAGAAGCAATCTGGGCCTTGGCTTATTATGACGAGTCTAATTAGGAAACCTATTAAGATAATGGAACAAAACATACAGTAAAGGGAAGACCTGCAAAGGTGAGATGCATTATCGCAGGCTTGGAAGGAGAGAAGGTAATGGAACCAGCCTTAACTGGATTCTTCCTCAATTCAGTAGTTTTGTACTTCTGGGATGGTTTTGAGAGTCAGACATTGTCCACATTTTCACCATACATTTAAAGCACCATGATACCACTTTAAACAGTAATTGGTTTCCCCTAAAAGATCCTGGGAGCCAAAGTTTGTTAAGGGTGCTGAAATGACACCCCTATCCCCCCTCACAGTGTCAGTTCAGCCCTACACTCGAGTAGGACCCTGGCAGAGACACATGCCTGACTGGCATGTTCCCTCCCTCCTGGTCGATCATTCAGGAGCTTCAAAAGCTTTCTTCAGCCCAAACATCACACTGACCGATGCCAACAGACATCGGCACACTTAGGGATCTGCAGAGTTTGTGCATCATGCGTAACATCACATTCAACCTCTGTTCAAAAGCCTCCAGTGAAGAGAGTTCGCTGTCTTCTGACGATCGTCCATTCGACCCTCAACTGGCTCTTACCATCAGAAAGTTCTTCCTAATGTTTAAGCTGGAATCTCCATTCTTGTAACTTGAATCTGTTGGTTTGGGTCCTCCTCTCTGGAGAAGCAGAGAAGAGCCCTTAAAATATTTGAAGACAACTCTTCAGATAGGTCTTATTTCCACAGAGAACCCTCCAACCACAGTGTGGCTAGGAGACAAAAGTAACAGTGGTTTATAAAAGAGAGAAGCAAAGACTTGTTTTTCAACTGTGTGTGAGCCCTTTCTCCCTGGAGATGGAACACTTTCAGGGTCCCTCTGTTGATCATTTCTTTGTCTTTTTCCTGCAAAAACAGTTTAAGCTCAGCTGCTTTTAAGCATTTGCAACCCATTCCACACAGCACTTTCCTCTACTCCCATTTCCCGTGTGTTTGGTTGTTGTTTGCAGTTTAAAGGCGGAGAATCATTAACAATCTGATCTGTGTGCCTTTTGAAAATTGCCCATGAAATGGCAACATTTTTCTCTGCCTATGTCTGAAATTTCACAGGTCCCTTGAGAGAGCAGGAGAACTGCAGCAAACATCGTGCCGGCTGGATCAAAAGCAAACACAACAGTTATGGGCAGCAGAAGAGCAGCTGGATCTCCCCACGCAAAGCAATGGGGAACCAACAACACAGTCTAAAGCACACCCGTTTCAAAAGTAGATCCAGAGAGTTCAAAGGGGCTTGCTCATGAGTAAGTGATCTAGGAGTGCAACCTTAATGGAAACAGGGAAAACAAATTAAAGCACAACAGAACTGAAGGTGGCTTCAATAAAATGAAGTTCTGATAATGAAAACTAATGGAATGAATGAATGAATGAATGAATGAATGAATGAATGAATGAATTATTCCACCTCCCCCCCCTCTTTTTTCTATTTCCAATCACCCAGCCAGTGTGGCTAATGGCCAATGATGCCAATGATCTGGAGGGCCACAGGTCTCTTGTGGCATCCTGAGCTTCTGATCTGCTGGGAAACCCTTCAGCCTGACCGAGAGGGACGCATTGTCTGGAGTCGCCTCCATTAGTCACCCTACGTGCACACAGCTTTCTTTGCAAAGGTTGGTCAGTGGCATTAATATTTCATGCCGCCGTCCCCAGTGAGTTCCTAAGAGCAGAGACGAGATAAAGGAGTCTGAACAAGCAGGACCTGAGCATAATAGCAACACGTGCTCCGCTTGCAGTTTTCCGGCAACTGGTATTCAGAAGCATTTTAAAAAAAAAAGAATAGCCTGTTGGCTCAGGCCAATAGCCTGTCTAGTCCAGCATCCTGTTCTCACAGTGGACACCCAGATGCCTGGGGGAAACCTGCAAGCAGGACCTGAACACAAGAGCCCTCTCTCCTCCTGTGACTTCAGAATATTCAGAAGCCAAGCCTCATTAGGAACAGTTGAGGGGACTCAACTGATCCTGAATGTGGGGGACTCCCTGGTCCTGAATGGGGTAACTGTGCCCCTGAAGGACCAGGTGCGCAGCCTGGGAGTCATTTTGGACTCACAGTAGTCCATGGAGGTGCAGGTCAATTCTGTGTCCAGGGCAGCTATCTACCATCTGGTACAGTACATAGGCTAAGACCCAACCTGCCTGCAGACTGTCTTGCTAGAATGGTGCATGCTCTGGTTATCTCCTGTTTGGACTACTGCAATGTACTCAACGTGGGGCTACCTTTGAAGGTGACCTGAAAACTGCAACTAATCCAGAATACGGCAGCTAGACTGGTGACTGGGAGCGGCCACCGAGACCACGTAACACCGCTCCTGAAAGACCTACATTGGCTCCCAGTACGTTTCTGAGCACAGTTCAAAGTGTTGGTGCTGACCTTCAAAGCCCTAAACTGCCTCGGCTCAGTATACCTGAAGGAACGTCTCCACCCCCATCATTCAGCCTGGACACTGAGGTCCAGCTCCAAGGGCCTTCTGGCTGTTCCCTCACTGTGAGAAGTGAGGTTACAGGGAACCAGGCAGAGGGCCTTCTTGGTGGTGGTGCCCACCCTGTGGATCGCCCTCCCATCAGATGTCAAGGAAATAAACAACTATCTGACTTTTAGAAGATATCTGAAGGCAACCCTGTTTAGGGAAGTTTTTAATGTTTGATGTTCTATTGCGCTTTTAATTCTGTTGGGAGCTACCCAGAGTGGCTTGGAAAACCCAGCCAGATGGGTGGAGTATAAATAAATTTTTTATTATTATTATTATTTGGCCCTCAGAAGATTGCCCAGAACAGAATGTGGCCCTTGGGCTGAGAAAAGGTTCTCCACCCCTGCCCTAATTTCTCATCATGAATCTTTTATACGAGGCCACAGTCGCCTTGCCATGGTGCGTGTGGGGGAAATGAGCTAAATTATGTACCGCTCAAAACCACAGATGGTTCTACGATCGTGCAGATCAAAGATAATGAAGAGGGTCAAGCTCCTGCTGCTGCAGTGAAGCTGTAATTTTTCTCCAGCTTCTCTCTCTGCTGGCCATGTCTCAAGCAACTCTGATTCATTTTCTGTCTCTCCTGCTCATCCCAAGGTCACATCTACAGCTCCTACCTGGTATCCTGCTGCTTACCTTTAATTTTTAACACAGGGTGGGGGGATCTTTTGGGTCCAGTGGGCCAGATCTCTTTTTGTCCCCACCCTAATGGACCAACTTGGGCAGTTGGGTGGGACAACCCACCTGCCAGTCCTCAGGTGCCATAACGCTATCAGGTGATTGACACCTGTCAAAGTCCCTGGAGCCATGCTTCCCAAATACCCAACAGTCAGGGGCAGGGAACTTCCAGCCCGGAAGCTGAATGCAGCCCTTTCAAGTATCCCTATTTTCCAGGGACATTCCCTGATTTAGAGATGCTGTCCCGGTTTCTGATTTGTTCCAGAATGTCTCACTTTTCCTTAGGATATCTATTTTCATTGGTGAAATGATTTTTTTTTATATATGTTGGGATGCGGGTGGCGCTGTGGGTTAAACCACAGAGCCTAGGGCTTGCTGGTCGGAAGGCGGTGGTTCAAATCCCCGTGACGTGGTGAGCTCCTGTTGCTCAGTCCCAGCTCCTGCCAACCTAGCAGTTCAAAAGCATGTCAAAGTGCAAGTAGATAAATAGGTACCACTCCAGCGGGAAGGTAAATGGTGTTTCTGTGTGCTGCTCTGGTTTCACCAGAAGAGGCTTAGTCATGCTGGTCACATGACCCAGAAAAACTGTCTGTGGACAAACGTTGGCTCCCTCGGCCAGTAAAGCGAGATGAGCACCGCAACCCCAGAGATGTTCGCAACTGGACTTAACTGTCAGGGGTCCCTTTACCTTTACGTAATATATGTTGGAAGCTGCCCAAAGTGGCTGGAGCAACCCGGTCAGATTGGAAGAAGAAGAAGAAGAAGAAGTCCCTATTTTCATCAGAGAAATATTGGAGGGTATGTGAACATGGTCCTCAATGTTTCTCTACCTGGCCCTTGGGATGCTTTCTAGGCCATGCCCACTCCGAAGGACACACCTCTCTCTGATCTTGATGGGCAATCTTCTTGATAAGGCCTCTTGTTTGCTTGGATAGAGCAGGCATGTCCAACAGGTAGATCATGATCTACCGGTAGATCACTGGACGTCTGCAGTAGATCACTGGTAGATCATTGGCTCCCCCCAAAGAACCAGATCACTGCCAGTTTTTAACTCTGTGAGTAGATCGCAGTCTCTTGGGAGTTGGCCACCCCTGGGGTAGAGAATGGAGAGATTTGTGTAGCGTGTGTGTGCATGTTCACAGAAACCTCTTCTGTCGGGCTGTAGCAGGCTGTCCAAAGGTTAGAGTCACACCTGTTGCTCCGCCCACTTTTGCATCACCTGACCCTTGGAAAAAGCGATAAAAGTGTTGGGAGTGAGCCGTAGCTCAGTGACTAGAAACTGCAGGCGGTTGCAGGTTCAATCCCTGCCTGAAACCCTGGAGAGCTGCCGCCAATCAGTGTAGACAAGACTGAGCAAAATGGACAAAATGCGAGGCAGCTTTCCTGCATTCCTCTGTTCCTAACCTCAGCCATAGAAAGCAAACAGCTGTTTAGCATTCTCGGGTACCCCCCAATGTGAAATCACTCCCCTCTTATGAACAATGATAAGCCGCCCCTAAAATCCCCAGAGACCAAGGAGAGGCCATTGGAGGAGCTGCTTTGCATCTCCCTGAAGACCGGCAACCCTTCAAGGTACTTGTTAATGGACAAAGCAGGTTTATTAATATGCACAGCCTCACACTCATATGCCCACGCTGGATAATTGTGCTTTGCCTCAGTGCACCATAGTTTGGGGTGGAAACTTTGTCTTAGCCGGTGCTGAAACTGGAAACTTCCCAAGACATTCTGCTGTCTGTGGCAAAGATGGCATCATCCCAATTCCATGTACAACAGCTGGCTGGACTGGCAGTGGGATTTTACTTCAGACTGGTCCTCAACCACACCTGTAAATCTGTCTAATGGTAGGGCTGGCCTTGGCTAAAGCTGGGAGCTGAGTTGCTCACTGCACTCTTCACACAGTACATTCCAAGCACATGGTTTCTCCCAGAAAATTCTGGGAAGTGTAATAATAATAATAATAATAATAATTTATTTATACCCCGCCCAGCTGGCTGGGCTTCCCCAGCCACTTTGGGCGGCTTCCAACAAAACACTAAAATACAATAACACATTAAACATTAAAAGCTTCCCTAAACAGGGTTGCCTTCAGATGTCTTCTAAAAGTTTGGTAGTTATTTTTCTCTTTGACATCTGGTGGGAGGGCCTTCCACAGGGCAGGCACCACTACTGAGAAGGCCCTCTGCCTGGTTCCCTACTTGGCTTCTCGCAGCGAGGGAACCACCAGAAGGCCCTCAGCACTGGACCTCAGTGTCCAGGCAGAACAATGGAGGTGGAGACGCTCCTTCAGGTATACTGGACCGAGGCCGTTTAGGGTTTTAAAGGTCAGCACCAACACTTTGAATTGTGCTCGGAAACGTACTGGTAGTTCACCTCACAATGAGCTATCATTCCCAGCACCCTGTAGGGTAAACAGTATTGTTGGGATATATTTGCTATCATCATCATCTGTTTTCATTTACCGTCTTCATTATTTCTATCATTAACGTATCTTCTTTTTATGTTTTGACTTTCACGTATTTTTATTGACAACAACAAGAACATTAGTGGGGAAACGAAGAAACCCATCACCCGTTGTTACATTTAATAATAAATTAAACCCAAGAAGAACTAAATCTAATTGTAAGAGAGCCAGTGGTGTTCATAGTGGTTAGACGGTTTGGGCTAAGGACCTGGGAGAGATCAGGGTTCAAATCTCCACTTGGCCATGAAGCTCACTGGGTGATGTTGGGCCAGTCACTGCCTCTCAGCCTAACCTCCCTCGCAGGATTGTTGTGGGGATTAAATGAGGTGAGAGAGAACCATGAGCTCCTTGGGGGGAAAGGTGAGATATAATTGCAATAAATAAGTGAAATACAAAATCACAGGAAAGAAACATAACTCATGGGACATTGCGGTAAGAATGCACAAGGAATCCGTGGAATGAATGAATAAACCCATTTTGCTAAATAAATGTAGGGCCACATATACAATTCCATAGAGAGATGGGGAAGAGAGAGAGACAGGGAGGAATTCAGTATGACACTATCCCAATCATTCTGCCAGTGCAAGCATTTCCATCAGACAGAATGTTGCCACATGATAGCCCTGTGTTCCACCACCAGAAATACTTTTTGGAGGGTGAATCCAGCACACAGGAGGATTC